CACATATGCCCGTGGCTTAATTAACACAAATCGCAGCAGTAGAGTCAATGGTGAGTTAAACAAATGAGTGCTTATTTTCTTTGGTGTGAAAGGAATCCTCTGGTGAAGAAAAGGATTAGAATAGAGGTTTCTTCTTTTGGCTTCACAGTCACTAACTAATCCCTGGACTTCTATTCAAGTTGGCCTCACGGTTTCAACATTGCTGCTAGGGATCAAGCCCTCAAATCTGGAAACCTATCAGAAGAAAGAAAGAAGGGGAAAGGGAACCCATTCCTAAGGAATGTGTTCTTTTAAAAGGAGTTTCCTGGAAGCTTCTAGTGAATGATTTCACTTACTTCTTCTTGACCACTACTTGCAGCAAGAGAAATTTGGAATATCCTTTTATAACTACGTACACTTAGGATTCTAAATATACCTCAAGCTATTTTAGGAGGGAATAAAGAAAACCAGTTGTCTCTGCTAAATGAGTGAATCTGATAGAAAATGGCTAAAAGCTTTCATACTTCCTGGAGTTACTAGATCATCAGAGTACTCATGGGGGGGTGGTGTATCTCAGAATACAAGACTTTGGCGGCATGTAGGTTATTTTGAAGTGAAGGAAATTAAGATCCAGTTGACTTGAGACAAAAATCCTCTTTATAAACAACCTAAAACACTTAGATAGGCTTTGTCTAATCCAAATCTTTGGATTCCTTATAGCTCACATGTAAGCTTAATCATCTGACATTTTTTCTTTCTACTTCTGATTTATTTTGTTTAGCATGATCCTCCTAATACTATGTCCACCTTCACATAAATCACAATAAAAAATAATGCTTGTACTCTGACTGAAGACTCAGGCAATCAGAGGGAAATGGGTGGACTTGAGAAGACAGTAGGCAACCAGTGTATAGTGATGAAGTGGAGAGTGGTACCTTGGTGGTGGGCATAGTATGGTAACATGCATTTAAAGGGATGTGAAGGGGGCCATGGAGATAGTTCAAAGAACTTTACATATGGGCTGACTGGGTGCCACATGGTCCTCTGATCACCAGCCTAAAAGTACCTAGAACTTACTACCGGAACACTTCTGGGGGTTGCCCCCAAACAAACACACAGATAAACAAAATAGAAGAGATGCAAGCAGTGGTCTTAAGCAGTTTGTCACTGTCACTGTCTCTGTCCTCCCATTGTTCATCGATTTGCTTGAGTGGGTTCAGTAACGTCTCCACTGTGACACTTGTTACTGTGTTTGGCATATCGAATACTTCACGGGTAGCTTGCCAGGCTTTGCCATGCAGGCAGATACTCTCGGTAGCTTGCCGGGCTCTCTGAGAAGGGCGGAGGAGTCAAACTCGGGTCGGCCATGTTGGCTGTGTGCAAGGTAAACGTCCTACCCCCTGTGCTATTGCTCCAGCCCGGATAAGCAGTTTATTTCAGAAAAAGAGCTATTACCAGAGATAAGAAAGGATCTTTTATTTTTTTTAGTCTAAAAGACTTTGTTGAACAAACATTTTATTACTTAATATCTCCTCTTCCCTGTTAATCAGTCTTATGTCAACTTAATTTTTAGGTCAGACAAAAAAGAAACAAGAAAGAAGAAAGAAAAAGTTTAACATCTCTATGATTACATTTCATGCTGGTGTCTAGAGATGAGATGCCAGAAACACCTTCTAAGGGAAAGAAATCTGTTGATCTGTTGTTCTGTTGAAAAGTCTCATGGGGTCGCTAAAATTCATTTTGTTAGTGAATTTACCAAGGTTCAGAGTTTGACCTTGATTGCTGAAGTGACTGGAACAAAACAATTAGTGAAGGCTTTGGGTCACAGCGGTGGTACCCACGGGCTACTCTCAAGAGTCATTCCTGGTGGTGCTCGGGGAACCATATGTGGTGCCAGGGATTAGACCTAGGTCTCCTTCATGGGCTCTAGTCCATTGAGTTATCTCTCAAGCCCTGAAACTTAATTTATTTCAGCACACTAAGAGTAGGTTGACCATTTTTGGGAAGGGTGTGAGGCACAAATGGTACTTAGGAGTTGATCTGGCAGTCCTGGGTGGGGAGTAAGGTAAAGGTAAAGGTAAAGGCCCTTCCGTTGATCGTCGATTTGCTCGAGCGGGCCCAGTAGCGTCTCCATTGGAGACTTTGTTGTTACTGTGTTTGGCATATCAAATACTCTCGGTAGCTTGCTGGGCTCTCTGAGAGGGGCGGAGGAATCGAACTCGGGTCGGCCATGTTGGCCGCGTGTAAGGCGAACGCCCTACCGCTGTGCTATCGCTCCAGTACCATGTGGTAATGAGAATCAGAACCTGGGTCCAGCATGTAAAGCAAACACCCTAGCCTTCTGAGGGGTTATCTCCCTAGGCCAAGTGTACTTGGTTTTCAAAGAGAAACTCAAACTACCTTAACTGAGGTGGTGAAAAAAAAATCATGACTATAGGGTCGTAGAGATAGCTCAATGGACCTGAGTTCCTGCTTTACGTGCGGAAGGCATAAATTTGGTGCCCCAAACTCATGGTCCCTGAGCATAGAGATGTGAGTAGTTCCTGAGAACTGCTGATTAAGCCCCCCTATCATAAATGCAAAAAACCAAACAGTTTATTAATTTGCAATAAGAAGTAACTATTTCAGTTAAATGTGCAGAATTAGAAAAAGACCAGGTAAGTCAATTGAAGAATATTCAATGGGTTCAGCTTAGAGTTAGGATGGAAATGCCAAGAGACTGGAGGCACATCTTGGGGCTCACCTACCTTCTTGACTAGTCAATTCTGGCTGACTCACAATCTATTGCCTCTAGTTCTGTGTATTCCTATCTGGCCCTCTCCTTCCACCTAAGACTCCCATCTCAATGGTTGTTAGCCTTCAAGTACAGACTAATGAACCTGGGAACTTCATAACTCATTAGAGTGTCTCTGCTTTATATATATATGTATACATATACATACATGTGTGTATATATGTATATATAGTCATATTATATATGTATATATAGTCATATATATGTATATATATGTATATATAGTCATAATATGTAGTCAGCTACATATATATAGTCAACATATATTTGGAATATATGTAATATGTATTTGGAATTATGTATTTGTATATATGTATATAGAGACTCAGAAACAAATCCATACACACACCTATATATATGTTATATATATGTTTATATATATATGTTCCTATATGCTGGAGCGCTAGCACAGTGGGTAGGGTGTTTGCCTTGCACACACCTGAGCCAGGTTTGATTCCTCCGCCCCTCTTGGAGAGCCCGGCAAGCTACGAGAGTATCCCATCCACATGGCAAAGACTGGCAAGCTACCTATGACATTTTCAATATGCCAAAAACAGTAACGAGACTCACAATGGAGATGTTACTGGTGCCCGCTCGACCAAATCGATGAGCAACGGGAGGACAGTGCTACAGTGCTATATATATATGTTCATATCTGTGTGTGTGTTCCAAATTTTAACTGCCCACAGGAGAAGTCTCAGTGTAATCCCCATATGCTGCCTCCTATCGGGTCTTAGAGACATTTGTGAATAAAACCAGAAAAATGACTATAAACCTTTCAGGGTTGAGAATAAAAAGTGGTGAGAATTTGTCAATTTAGAGTTGGCTGATATGACTCAGCTTAGAGCTGGAAGAAGTTAACATTTGTAAACAGGAAGACAAAGTGTGAAAATTTAAAATCAAGACTGCATCATTCAACATGTAGGACATTCAACTGTCGAGCCAGAATACACCTGGTACTCAACTTCTAAGATCACGTGTGGGTTGCTTTTCTGGTGTCAGTATCTTCTGAAATGAAGTTTTCTGAGGAATGTGGGTCTGTTGCCAGTCATGGGGCAGGTTGATCAGTCCCGTCTCCCTTACCAAGTACATATTTAATTACAAACAGAGAGCTCAGACAAAGAGGAGGCAAATCCCTGATTCTCTATGAGTTGTCCTTTAATGAGTCACCTTTTGTAAACCATTGCTCTCTGAAGCACTATCATTTCTGTGCAAGTAGGATTTACTATGTATAAAAGTTAGTATTTATTCTGTGAGTCAAAGGTTGAATTAATTTTGCCATTTTGTTCTAGACTAGTTTAGCTGCTCACTTAAATATTTTATGCTCAAATTTAGACTCAGTTGCTTTCAGTGTTATCACTTTCTATTAAAACTGGGTGGACAAGGTCATTTTTCTATATCTCTGGAGAAAACAAATGTACTTTTTCCATAGTCATGAAGAAGAAAGAAAGTGGGGAAAGTTTAGAATGACAATAGCATACAATTATCCTGCAAAACCTCTGAGCAGTTTTAAATAGATAGTATCTAACAATGACAAACCCTTTATATTGAATTACAAAATTCTTTGACAGGTAGTGGGGAGACAATTGGGGAGAATGAAAGTGGGACCAGAGTTGACAAAAATACAATGATGGAAGATCATGAGCACCTTGGTGATGGTAGTACATCAACACTATTAACTTTAACACTATTGTAAACATATTATATAAACTATATTATTTTTTCAAAATCAAGGTATTTGCTCATTTTGACTCTTGATTTGTCTTTGAGGGTTTGGAAATAATCTTTCAGACAGAACTACTGAAACTGAAATATATATATGTATATATAGATATATATATATAGAGATCGGGCGCGTTCAGGGTGATATGGCCGTATATAGAGAGGGCTGGAGCGATAGCACAGCGGGTAGGGCGTTCACCTTACAAGCGGCCAACATGGCCGACCCGAGTTCGATTCCTCCGCCCCTCTCGGAGAGCCTGGCAAGCTACCGAGAGTATTCGATATGCCAGACACAGTAACAACAAAGTCTCCAATGGAGACGTTACTGGGCCCGCTCGAGCAAATCGACGATCAACGGGAGGGCCTTTACCTTTTACCTTTTATATATATAGAGAGATATATATAGATATAGATATTTAGGCTTTGCTCTACTGGGAGGGTACTAGTATATTTAACAAAATGCAACTTTCTAGGAAAGAGAAGGCATGGACTGTGTGGATCATCATCAGCTGTTTGTCAAAGTCAACTGAACTTCCGATTTCAGAGTCTTCCAAACTGCCTCGCTGTCACAGAGACTTTCTCTCTCGCAATCTGATCTTATTTCACTTGTGGATGTGAACAGCATGGCGTCTAAAATCAAAACGGGGTTTAGTGACAACTTTTGACAACTTCACTAATCACATACAATTAGGGGCAATCTTAGCAGTCTGTTCATTAGTTTAAACAAACATAACAGTATGTTCCATGGTACTTAAATTTAGATGAATGAAATGAATACATAACAACAACAATAATAATAACTAGGGGGTATGGTGCTGCCAGCAGGCCAATCTGTACCTGTGAGGTGAATGCATAGCAGCCTGATGGCACCATCAGACTTTCAGTACCCCAAAATTTCTGCTTTGCCTTTGGCCAGACCCCAAAAGCTTGGGGAAAAGTTTACCAAGAAAGTAAACTGCCAAAAGCTAGGTATGTGGGAGACACACCCACAAACCACCTCGGGCTCAGCTATATAATTGGAGGCAAGGCCTCTCTGGTTCCTGATCGAGTTGCTTAACCATGATCCCAGAGACTCAGAAATGAATCTCGGAACCCAAAGGCTTTTGGCAGAAATGTGTCCTGTTCTTGCAGTAGGTTACTGGTGCTGGGCCACTCAAGGTGGGAATAGGTTTCGTACCTTGGTCTGTTCCCCTGGGCGGCCTGGTGACCACCATCCTCCAGAGGCCACAGGACAGTCAGGTTTGGACCTGCAGTGACGAGACACGTGGGGCCTCACCAGATGGGAGTGGAACCAGCCCTTTCCTCCCCATCCCAACGAGATCCCAAGTCACCGCCTATAAATGGCCTCTCTGGCTCCTGATCAAGCAGATTAATGGCCATGATTCCAGAGACTCAGAAACAAATCTTAAAACCCAGTGGCTTTTGGGCAGAAATGCATCTGGACTGCATACAAGGTGGCCACTGCCTCAGAGCTTATTGGAAAGCCAGGTATGAGCTGGTGGTGACGGGGCAACTGCAGTCTCATGGGAAGGGGGACGATACCGGTTCATCCTTCATGCCCTACCGAGGTCATGAGTTGCCCCCATGAGCAGCTCTCCTACATGGCCATGGATCCAGAGGCAAAAGAACTTAATCCAGAGCCCGGCAGCTTGTGGAAGAAAAGTGAATGGACCATGGGTTAAACTACAGTGCCATGCCTCCCTGGGAGGGAAGGGGTGTCGCTTTCTTCTGCCTTCCCCCAGCCCCCCGGCAGCAAGGTGGTCACCGCCTCTTATAGGAAAGCCAGGTATGAGCTGGCGGTGACAGGGAAACTGCAGTCTCATGGGAAGGGGGGGGGGGGCGATACCGGCTCATCCTTCACGCCCTACCGAGGTCACGAGCTGCCCTCCACGAGTGGCTCTCTAGCACAGTCATAACACCAGATGCACAGAAACCAATCTCATAATTATCTGGCTCTTTGCAGAAATCCAAAATCATTATATGACATTATATGATTCTCATACTAGCTATAGAAAACAAAGTATTTCACAATGCCTTTTCAGCAATTCTGATTGTTGGGGGGGAAATTCTAAACAATAATGGTGCATCTTTTGTCGAAATAATGAATGCAATCAATGTATAGAAGAGTTAAGTAGAAATCATCTGCCTCACAGGCATTGGGAGGGGTGGGAGGGGGTATATTGGGGTTCTTGGTGGTGAAAAATGAGCACTGGTGAAGGGAAAGTTAAGATTATTTCCAAACCCTTCTATGAAGGGTAAGGTGTTTGATCATTGTATGACTGAGACTTAAACCTGAAAGCTTTGTAACTTTCCCCACAGTGATTCAATAAATAAATATAAGAAGAAAAAAATAGTAACCATTATTATTTTATTTCATTTTATTTTATTTTGAGGGGTCTACATCAGAATGTGCTCTCAGATTACTCTTGGCTTTGTGCTCAGGGTTCACTTCTGGCAGAGCTCTAGAGAACCATCTGTAGTGCTGGGTAGTTAACCTAGGTTGCTGTGTGGAAGGCGAGAACCTTACCTGCTGTACTGTCTCTCTGGCCTCATACAGAATTATTTATGAAATGGTGGGTCCAAGTTTCTATAATTGGAGTCCTTTCTTTTCTTGTGAAATTCAATCTGGGGTTTCTGGTTCCTCATTAATATATGCATTTTTTTCTGTTGGACTGTTATATTTTGGTATTAAAATTTTATTTACTTACCGTTCATTTTCAACGCTATTTAAATTTTTGGAGCAGTGATTCATACTTCTATGCATGCACACAGTCTTATTATAGTCATAACCAAAGTTCTAGCATCATTATTTGGTTCAGTATAATTTTAATGGGTCAAAAGGATAAAAATGAGATATTTAAAAAGCTTCTTTTATAAACATTGGTTTGATAATTTTAATTATATTGCTTTTTTTGGTGGGAATTCCAAGAAGAGCTCAAGTAGTGGAGGACCACCAGGGCCAACTTGGTGGTATTGAGGCTGGGGGAGGTGGTGGTGCCAGAGTTTGCTCTCAGTTTCAGTGTTCCAGTGTGTGCTTTGCATAGGCCTCTGATCACAGAATCTTCAGCCCCTTAGGTAACCTCTTGAACTGGTACATCAATTTGTCTAAGTATTCACAGTTAAATAGGGTTGCTTTACAAGCAAAGAAAACCATCCATTTCTAAATGAATGTAAGACAGTCAGTGGTACCACCTGGATTAGAGCATTTCTTTCTTTCTTTCTTTCTTTCTTTCTTTCTTTCTTTCTTTCTTTCTTTCTTTCTTTCTTTCTCTCTCTCTCTCTCTCTCTCTTTCTTTCTTTCTTTCTTTCTTTCTTTCTTTCTTTCTTTCCACTTTTGTATTGAATCACGGTGAGACAGATGCTTACAAAGCTGTTCATGATTAGATTTCAGTCATGCAATATTCTAACACCCATCCCTCCACCAGTGTACATTTCCCAGCACCAGTGTCTCCAGGTTCCCTCCCATCACCCCTCCACCCTCGCAACACCTCTCTGCATCTATGGCAAGTGCTTCCCCCCTCTCTCTTTCTCTGCCTCTCTCTGTCTCTCTTTCTGTCTCTCTCTCTCTCCTTTTGGGCATTGTGTTTTGCAATATTGATACAGCAAGATTATCAAGAATATCACTTAACCTACTTTTAACACTCAGAGATTGTCCAGCGAGATCATTCTCAGCTAATATTGCCATTTCAGTCTCTTTTCTATCTTACCTACCCTCTGACCCCACACACTTGTGGTTAGTTGGGTTAGAGCATTTCTTATGCTCTAAAACCCAATTTAATTCAGAAACTGAGATTAACCCTTTGGTTTCTAACTCTTGAAGAAGAATTCCTAGTGCATCTGCCATCTCCACCACCATGCACCCAACTTAAAACTTGTTATTCCCCTTCTCACGGGACTGCACAGTTAGAGACTATTGAAACCCTCAAGTATGCGTACAGTTATCAGCTCACAGTGAAGAACTTAGACAAAACAGCCCCAGGACAATTAATGCATTTTTGCAAGATGCTATTAAGAGTGATGATGGTTTGTGCCTTTCATTTTTTTCTATTTAACACAAGTAACTGAATTCTTTCATCCAGTTTCCCAGGAGTAAGCCCTGAATACTGCCAACTATGACTCCCAAGCTATAAATCAATAAAACACAACGATCCCCCAAAACAATACCACCCCTGCAAAAAACTTAAAAGAAAGTTTCTGATAGTTCAGTAGAAATTACAACATAAATCTAGATGAAGGTTTAGATTACAGGTATTACATTGCTGACTTGTTTAGCCCTTTTCTATATTTTGGAGTGTAAAGGAATAAAGGAAAACATCATTTGCTGTACTTTATATCCATAAGAGAGAAACAAATTTTATTCAGAATAAAATCACTATGATAGAAAGATATCAGTAATGTAAGTGAAAAAAAAGAACTTGGATTCTTGGCAAAATCAGTCTTAAGCTGATAGAAATGAGTCTAACCTTTTCTTTCCTTTCCAACTACATCTCAAGATGAAGGTCTGTCGAGTATATTATAAAAACAAAATAACAGAAACTGAAAATGAGCAATAGGTGGATATGAGAAAACAACTTGTAGTCTTAGAGGGGTATGCATTTAGCTCAGTGAAAATGAAGGGTAACAACCTTAAGAACAAGGAAGGACCAGGAGGTCTGCTCCACAGCTTGGAAACTGGCCTCATATCCTGGGGGAAAAGGCAGCTCTGATAGAGAAGGGAACATCAAGTAAAGGATGTTGGGAGGACCCATTCGGGTTGAAAGATACGTGCTGAAAGTAGACTATAGACCAAACACGATGGCCACTCAATACCTCTATTGCAAACTATAACACCCAAAATGAGAGAAAACAAAAGGGAATGCCCTGCAACAGAGGCAGGGTGGTGTGGGGTGCTGGGGCGGGGGTGGTGGGAAGGATATTGGGAACTTTGATTGAGGAGAATAGGCACTGGTGGAGGGATGGGTAAATGATTATTGTATGACTGAAATATGAAAGTTCATAAGTTTTTAACTGTACCTTATGGTGATTCACTAATAAAAAAATTGAAAAAAAAAGAACGAGGAAGATTTCTTTTGATCCAAGCCTGGTACTTCTTGGTAAATAGGGTATAGACTCCTGGTTTCTTGGCTATACCACATAAAATATAACCTGTAGACACTAAGGCATAGAAGGCACCTTTGGGGGCTGGAGCAGTAGTACAGAGGATAGGGCGTTTGCCCTGCATATGGCTGACACAGGTTGAATCCCCAACATCCCACATGGTCCCCCAAGCACCACCAGGAGTAATTCCTGAGTGCAGATCCTGGAGTAACCCCTGAGCATCGATGGGTGTGACCCAAAAAGAAAAAAAATTAAAAAAAGAAGGCACCTTTGAAGACCAAAGGTCCACCAGTGTCACCGTGGGGAAGAAGAAAAGAGGCAGATACTTGGTGAGAATTTACTCAGCTTCTTTTTCTCTGTGTCCTCAGTGGTTCCCTAGCCATCCCTTTACTTGGTGGAGATTGTCTGTGTACCTGTCTCTGTCTAGGACTTTTGTTTGTTTTCCCTTTATCCATCTATCCATTTGTCTGTCTCATTTCTTTCTGTCTGTGTTACTCTTGTTCTCTAGGACTATATATACTTACATCCTTTGGCAAACAATTCACTTTGAATTTGATTCATTAAGAAATTTGTGGACATAAAGTTTAAAATAATCTACTGAATGTCTCTCTTAAAGTGGGGGGCTTCACTTTGGTGCTGATGACCCTGTAATCAAGTTGTTATTGAGAGTGGTAGATGAACAACACAATGGCAGGGACTGCATCAGTTCTAGTACATTTTCATCTGCCTTTTTGCATCTCCAGTCATTAAGCATGTACATTACCCTCAAAATTTTCCTCAAGGAACTGATTCTGATAACAAAACAGGTCACTGAAAATTTGTCAGGGGAAGCAAGATGGTAAAAGGTGTCCTGATACTTCAGATAGAGTGAGCTGGCTTGCAAATCCCAAGAGCAACCTTTGCTGCTATTGCTGCTACTGACAGCACAAACCACAGTCTTTTGTGCTCTGATCACTGATCATTGGTGAAAACAGGTGCTTGGGAGGATAGTGCACCACGCAAACATTTGAGCTTTGAAATCATCATTAGCCTCTCACAATAATGCTTAAGATAATCTGGAGCGATAGCACAGTGGTAGGGCGTTTGCCTTGCACTGGCCGGCCCGAGTTTGATTCCTCCGCCCTTCTTGGAGAGCCCGGCAAGCTAGCGAGAGTATCTCGCCCGCACGGCAGAGCCTGGCAAGCTCCCCGTGACATATTCGATATGCCAAACACAGTAACAACAAAGTCTCTAATGGAGACATTACTGGGCCCGCTCGAGCAAATCAATGAACAACGGGAGGATAGTGACAGTGAATCTAAAATGATAGTCGTATTCCAGTGACAAAATTAGTAATTTATTTGTGCACCTACCTGTCGCCTATAACATTAACGTATTTCCTGGCTTAATCAAAAACTATTTCAGGAAACAAAATATTTTAAAAAATATGATAGTTGTTCCTCTTAATCAATATTATTTGAAAGACACCCCTGCATATTTGAGATTTTTGCTCTTGAGTCTCACAAGACTTCTTAACGTAATATACCATTTCTATTTTTTTAAATTATTAATCATCTTCTAAAACCACCTGTGATCTGAGAATTGGTAAGATTTCTAAGGATGACTACATTCCTAAGAGGACACCAGTAACACTGCCAGATACAGTCTTTTATCTGGTTAACAAATGACTAATGAGTGCTTATTGTGCACTGGGGGGGAAGTGTTGTGAGTCATTCACATTTTGGTAGATGAAAAAGACCAGACCATGCTGTATAGGGATGGAAAAGATTTTTAGGGGAAGTTATGGGAATCCCATGCCTGTCCTCTCTGCAATGAGCCCAGGGGCAGGTTGTCACAGAACGCTCTGAGAAGCCTATTTGATAGACCCTCACCTGGCAGGAAATCTTCTGGCCTCTGGAGTCTCCTGCACATACCATGTCTTTAGTTATGATAGGATTGTATTTGTAATAACTTTGGCTGTTGCAAAGCTTTCTATTTATGACAATAACAGTCGCTTCTTGCAAAGTATCAGAAGAGGTTAGAATCTGGGGGCTAGTGGTTCCCCAGCCAGTAACCTGGCATTTTGTTCCATCTCTAATATCATCTTGGAATCTTAGATGAAGCAGCTGGAAATGCTTGTTGAGCATTGCATTTGTGTGAAGCTAACAGATAGAAAAGAGAATAAATCATCCTTTGTCCCCAGTGTTGTTCTGTCATGAGCCTGGGCAATGTATGTGTGGTCCCTCCATTCTAGGAATGCATGCTTCTTTTGAATCAACTTTGGTGGTAGTTTGCAGCTGCATTTGTAGTTGTTCCCTTTCTGCCCATGTTCTCCAATCCCTGTAGAGTTCAGTGATGCATTAGCAGGGAGCTAACCCGGAGCAGGAATTTCGCTCTGTCTCAGTAAACTGTTCTTTGGCCTGCATTGGCTGACTTTATGTGGAATAACATTTACAGGTCATGACTTTGAGGGCTGGGTTGTTTCCTGCTGGATAGGATCCTTGAGTATGAACTGGACTTAGTTTGGACTACACCAAGTATGGTCTAGACTAAGTTGTAACTCACTTTTGAGTCCCTGAAGTCACTCTCTTGGCTCTGTTGAATAAATATGGCTATTGTGTTTTTTACTTGCTAATGTTAAAAAAATCTTTGGGAAACAGGCTTTCATGTGGATCCTTGTGTCTGTTGAGATGATATTCCCCTCCCACACATATGCACATTATATTTCCTTTTCCTTGTACAAACACAGTTCTGATGTGCTATAGGAGAGCCGTATTTCTTTTAAGGTCCCTCAGTGAAGTAAGATGGGTCATTATATACTAGGTCACAGTCACAGCATTCCTGGGAGAAGGCTAATGAAATACTTTTATGTTGGTGGTTGAAAAGTGAAGTAGGTTGTACATGAATGTTGAGAAATTGAAGGATGAAGGAAGCAATGCTACCTACCTTAACCATATAATATAATTTGATTTAGGGTATGGTATAAATATTGTGAATGGTATTAATTTTTAATACCAAATGTTTGCTTAGAGAGCTCATTCTTTGAGAGGGAGTGTACTCCTAAAACTACCATGGAAGAAAGGCCTTTGGCAAACCTAAAAATAGGAATGAGAAAAGAAGCAATAGAATGATTCTAAAATTCCCCCCAGAAGTGAGCAGATATGATATAAAGGGTTGTACCTACAGGAATAAAAAACCTCCTGGGGCCAGAGAGATAGTATAGCAGGTAGGATGCTTGCCTTGCATGTGTCTGACCTGGGTTTAATCCCTGGCACCTACATATGGTTCCCCAAACACTGCTATGAGAGATCACTGAGTGTTGAGATAGGAGTAAGCCCTGAGCACATCCAGGTGTGGCCCCAAAACAGCCTCCCCCAAGCAACCAAAACAACAGCAACAACAGCAACAACAACAACAACAACAACAACAACAACCCAACCCCAACCCAACAAAACCTTCTTCAAGGTAAAACATTTAGAACTTGATGGAGTGATACAGGTCTTGATGGTCATGGATGAATGATATCAAAGACCAAATTACCTGCTCTCAAACCCACATCATTCTTACTCCCTGGCATTGCAAAAGAATTTCAGTACCCTATTATAAGTAAAATTCTAATTGACTGAGAAAATGATGTAGAAGAAATATTTCTCGAGTTTATTATTTCTATTCACCAGTGCCTTTTATGTCCTTTTAAAAACTGAGGTAAATATACATAACAGAGTCTACCACTTAACCATTTTAAAATGTAGGGTCCTATGGTATTAAAAACATTTGTAATGTGCATCCATCACCACCATCTATCTTCAGCAGTTTTCCATGTTTCCAGTGTCAAGTTTCTAATAACAGGAAGATCATTCTCCCCATGTGTCTATTCCAGTCTCACTGCACACTCCATTCCGGTCTCACGCTGCCCCTCATTCTCACCTCCTACTTTATCCCATACTAGTCTCTTCACCTAGTCTCAGCTTTAGTCGAGCCCAACCACCAAGGGTTGGGGGTAGCAACTACATCCAGGTGAGATAGCACAATCAATGTATTTAAAGCCCTTCTTTCAGGGGAAGCTCTTCGAAGACAAAGATCTCCTTTTGCTAGGAGATCCACTCAAGGGTGGAATTTCATATAAGGCTTTATTTCTCCTGTCCTTAGTCCATAACCATTTAAATAGTCACCTCAAATTTACTTCTTAATAATCTTTGTAGTCATTTTGTATGGATACAGTAAGAGATCTATTAAGCATATAGGGTGGCTCTCCTGGGGACATCTCACTATAGATCCCTTAGCAGGATTCTTATCCAGCCACTTATCTTTGGGTCATGGCAGAATTTGTCCACGATTGTGCTCTTAACTTATTATAAGTTTTATGGCACATGGCCTGTCCCATTTTGATGCCAGTGTAGCTTAGCACCTGCCCTGAGTACATCCAGTCTCTTCGTAGGGACACAGCTTTTGATGTTCTAGCAACTAAGGACAACTGAGGCTTAAGTTGAGTAGATATGGCAGATGCCCAGGAGTAAATATTATTCAGAGTCAATTAACTCCCATGAGCATATCATTAACTGTCTTCCTATGTCTATAAAAAAAGACATTGCTCTAAAGTAAACTATGCAAGGGAAAAGAAAAGCAGTATATCTCTTACAAATACAAAATACAGAGTCCTTAGAAGGATCTGACCTTACAAATCAGGTTTTGGTTAGGGGAAATGAATGATTAACAGAGAAAGCAGAGCATAGAAAAGTTAAAGATGAATACCAAAGAAATGGGAGTGGCTTCTGGGAGCATTGTGATGGGTATTACTCAGTAAACCTAAACTCCTTGCCAATGGAGGAGAAAGGACAAAACCAATGCTATCCCACACTGGAGTTATAGAGACTACAAACCAGTGGGAAGGAAGAGAAAAATAGCGGTTTACTGAAAACCACAATCCCAGCCCAGTACTATTCGTGTTTAATTAATGTGATTATTGATATAATTTGGGCTGAAGAGATAACACAGTGGTAGGGCATTTGCCTTGCACCCGGCTTGCCCGGCCGACCTGAGTTCAATTCCTCCGCCCCTCTCAGAGAGCCCAGCAAGCTAACGAGAGTATCTCGCCCTCACAGCAAAGCCTGGCAAGCTACCCGTGACGTATTCGATATGCCAAACACAGTAAGAACAAAGTCTCACAATAGAGACATTACTGGACCTGCTTGAGCAAATTGATGAACAATGGGAGGACAGTGCTACAGTGATATAATTTACTCTATTTTTTTTTCTTTTTGGGCCACATCCGGCAATACACAGGGGTTACTTCTGGTTCTGCACTCAGTAATTACTCCTGGTGGTGCTCAGGGGACCACATGGGATGCTGGGAATCAAACCAGGGTCGGCCGCGTGCAAGGCAAATGCCGTACCCACTGTGCTATTGCTACAGCCCCAAATTTACTCTATCTTAAATAAAATGACAATTTTATTTTATTCAACTGATTATAAAAATAGGCATATTTTGAAGAGTTGACATATTTTGAAAGGATTTCATTTTAATGTATGTCTTAAAGGAAGCCACATCAAATCCTTCTTTCCAAAAGGAAACTTATAAAAAGAAATCATTTTTTTGTTCATATATAAATATTTAATTACCACTTAAAAAGGAGTTCAAGGTAGATAGCAGTAAAAATATACACATTAAATATACTGGTTGGCAAAGGTTAACATAAATCTAAAAAGTCATAAAAATTACAGGAAAAGGTTGAAGGAGTGTTTCAGGATTGGGGATTGGGCATGTCACTAATGGGGAGGGCTGAAGTTTTCATATGGCAGGGCTGTGTCTGCTGGGGATTACCATTTTTTGGTTTTTACTAAAACAGTTTTTTTTTTGGTTTATGCTTGTGAAATGCAACTTTATTTGTTGAAAATTTCGTCTATTGCAAAATCAGGAGGGAGATGAAATGTCTCCTAGGACAAAGATTATATTTCCTAGGACTGATTCAAATTCAACACTCATTAAATCCAATGATTTGGAGAGCAAAGACAATACAAAATTCCCAGGACCAATGCTCTAACAGAAAAGATGGCTCCTTACGTAAATAACCAACACAGGAAGGCTGTAAGCTATAAATGCGGGTGTGGAAGATGAATTCGGACTAGGGAAAGGGTGCTGAGAAAATGGGTTTTCCTTCATCTTTTGCCAGTTTCCTTGATTAGTTAATGCCTTTGAAATATTTTGGTTATTTTTGTGTCCACTGGGACCTGTTAATATCAAAAACAACCCCATTCGACCATGAATGCTTTCTGAACTTTCCATTTCTGGACACCCTTCATCTGAAGATGCACAACAAAGGTCAATTTTCTTCTTGTGAGTGACCTGGAATTACCTGACTTCTCTAACTGCCCTTCTTAATTGACCTCAGGTCTAAGTTCATACAAGGTAAAAGTATTAATACCAATGTTTTTCATTTGTGAGGTAGGATGTCTCTCCATGGGTAGTGCTTGAGAAACCTGCTTTAGGGGAAGGGTTTTGTTTGAAGATCTTGTTTAAAAACTACAGTTTTCTGTATTCTTCTGTCCCACACAGGCCTTAGCTGGATAGGATTATAGAGAGCAGAACCACAGACTTATTTAAAGTAAGGCTTTTCATCATCTGATGAAGCTACAGACATGTAAGTATTATCTCTATTGACATAACAATAAACTTTTATTAGTGCTATATTAGTGGACAGGCTCCATACCTCTACTAGTGAAAGGGCCCTTTGAGGGTATAAAGTGGGTCATAATGAGGGGTACAAGGACTCAAACTTGAAAAACTTTTGTGGGGGTATGGTGCCACCAGCAAGTCAATCTGTACCTGTGAGGTGAGTGCATCAGCAGCCTGATGGTGCCTTCAGTCTTCCAGATACTCCAAAATTGCTGCTGTGCCTTTGGCCAGACCCCAAAAACTTGGGGCAAAGTTTACCAAGAAAGTAAATGGCCAGAAGTGAGGTATGTGGGAAACACACCCACAAAGTACCTTCGGCTCAGCTATATAATTGGAGGCATGGCCTCTCTGGTTCCTGATCAAACTGCTTAATGGCCATGATCCCAGATACTCAGAAACAAATCTCGAAATCCAGTGGCTTTTGGCAGAAATGCGTCCAGTCCCTGCAGTAGGTTACCGGTGCTGGGCCAACCCAGTTAGAAATAGGTTTAGTGCCTTGGCCTGTTCCCCTGGGCAGCCATCCTACAGAGGCCACAGGACAGTCAGGTTGGGCCTGCAGTGACGAGACATTTTGGGCCTCATGGGATGGGGGTGGCGCCTGTCCTGTCCTCCCCACCCCAGTGAGACCCCAAATCATCACCCATGAATGGCCTCTCTAGCTCCTCATCAAGCTGCTTAACGGCCATGATCCCAGAGACTCAGAAACAAATCTCAAAACCCAGTAGCTTTTGGCAGAAATGTGTCCGGACCCCACAGTAGGTTACTGTCACCGGGCTACCCCAGGGGGGAAAGGGTGCTATCCCTCTACCTGCTCCTCCTTGGTGGCTCAGTGGCCGCCATTCTCCAGAGGCCACTGGACAGTCAGGCTTGGGCCTGCAGTGATGAAACTTGTTGGGCCTCATAGGATGGGGGTGGAGCCAGTCCGGTCCTCCCTACCCCAAGGAGACCCCAAGTCGTCGCCCAGCCTCTCTGGCTCCTGATCAAGTTGTTTAACGGCCATGATCCCAGAGACTCAGAAACAAATCTTGAAACCCTGCGGCTTTTGGCAGAAATGTGTCAGGAGTATGCAGTAGGTTACTGTCACTGGGCCATCCCAGGGGGGAAAGGGTGTTGTCCCTCTGCCTGTTTCCCCCTGGTGGCTCGGTGGCCGTCATCCTCCAGAAGCCATTGGACAGTGAGGTCTGGGCCCGCAGTGACGAGACATGTTGGGCCTCACAGGATGGGGATGGAGCCGGTCCTGTCCTCCCCACCCCAACGAGACCCCAAGTCATCACCCATGAATGGCCTTTCTGGCTCCTGATCAAGCTGCTTAATCACCATGATCCCAGAGACTCAGGAGCAAATCTCAGAACCCAGCAGGTTTTGATAGAAATCCCTCCAGATTTAAGTGTTAAAATTTCGGAATTTCAAAATCGCGTGACCACTATTGCAGCCACGTGACATCATATGTTATTCATAACCAGCAATAGAAAACAAATTGTCTACTGTTGCCTTTTCAGCAGATCTGAGTGTTGGGGTAAAATCTCAAATAATAATGGTGGGTCTGGTGTCAAAATGTTGAATGTGATCAAAGTAGAGAGAGAGTAATGTGGAAATCATCTGCTCCACAGGTAGGGGGAGGGTGTGGGATGGGGATATACTGGGGGTTTTGGTGCTGTAGAATGGGCACTGGTGAAGGTACAGGTGTTTCATTGTATGACCGAGACTTGGACTCGAAGGCTTTGTAATTGCTCTCACTGTGATTCATTAAATAAAATTATAAAAATGAAAAAAAGTAAGGTGGAGTTCATGCAAAATTCAATCAGCTACTCAGTGGCTGAATAAATAGCAGTACTCCTACATAAAAAAAGAAAAGCTTTTGTGACTCCAACTCCAGCTTTTTTATGTCATCACTATAAATTTTGGTCCAAGCTCTCTAAACCTGCCTTGATCCTGCACAAAGTTTCCTCTCCAAGTTCTGCAGTGAAGGCAGGGCAACAATTTTTTGAGGGAAATAATGAAGAGAGGAATTTATGTAGCTGAGACTACATAAATTAGACTACAATTTGTTGTAGTCTAATCCCAGAAATATGAATGGATCATTATAATAAATCCTCTGTAGTTACTACACAAGCTATAGATAATAATATAACAATGTGAGTTGGAGAGAACAAGGAATAATACACTTTTTAATTAATGTAGCCAAAATGAAAAAGAAAATGGGAGTAAATTCAGGGTTTGACTCCTGAGCCCAGAGTTAGGGTAACCCTGAGCTCAATCCCTCCCATCATCCTGCCATGAGAAAAACAAACAACACCCAGTAATATCTATTAACTTATTGTGGTATGCTGGATTTTGTGCTGAACATTTTTAAACATTTTACCACCAAATGTGGCAGATGTTATAACTTTTTGTCAGATAAGAACAGTGAGACTTTAATAAATGAACAAACTTGAGAAAGTTCTGTGGGTGTTTTGTGGAGGCTCTAGGATGCAAATAGAGTAGGGGTGCGGTGAGGGTGGGGGAATTAAATATTAAGTTGGCTTGGATTAAGAACCTGAATCTTTGATCTTTCTATTGTGGAAACCTTGACTGATTTGTGATGAAGTGAGACTGTGTGGGAGGGAGTGGGACCAGAGTTTCATCTAATCACTGACTCAGCAGGGGAGAGGATGAGGCTGTTTGGGAGACTCAAGAAGGCCAGTGGACCAGCAGTGGTGAATTTGCTGCTGGAAAATTTCAAGACTGAAAGATTATGTAGGAAGCTCTTGGCAGTATTGCTTTTGTAATTGGCACAGCAACTAACTAAGGGATTGAGATGTGATATGAGGCACTGGTGGTTGGGAACTGAGAAGGGAGGGAGAGAGGAACACCCCAGACTTGGCCTTCTGCACCTTTGAGCACAAGAGGGGTCTGAGGCTAGTAAGCAATTCCAACAGGACACTTGAGAGAACATGTGTGGAAAACCATCATTGAACTATTTCACAAATATTTTGGATTTTGTAAAGTTTAATATTTTTTCCAAGCATTAATCTGCTTACATTTTTACACCAAGTGTTCTGTAGAGGAAATCGATCCACATATTCTGGAGTGCTCTAAGTCCTAGCCATTTTAAGTGATGTTTAGCAAAAGTTTTTTTTTTTTTTAGCTCCAAGAACTCTCTCCAATCCTTTTATAATCTTTTTCCAATTAGACAGTTTAAAAATCCATTTCTAGGGGGTATGGTGACACCAGCAGGTCAATCTCTACCTGTGAGGTGAGTGTATCAGCAGCCTGATGGCGCCTTCAGACTTCCAGATACTCTAAAATTGCTGCTGTGCCTTGGGCCAGACTCCAAAAACTTGGGGCAAAATTTACCAAGAAAGTAAACGACCAAAAGTTAAGTATGTGGAAGACACACCCACAAAGCACCTCTGGCTCAGCTATATGATTGGAGGCATGGCCTCTCTGGTTCCTGATCGAATTGCTTAATGGCCATGATCCCAGAGACTCAGAAACAAATCTCGAAACCCAGCAGCTTTTGGCAGAAATACGTCCGGTCCCTGCAGTAGGTTACTGGTGCTGGGCCACCCCAGGTGGGAATAGAATTTGTGCCTTGGTCTGTTCCCCTAGTGGTCCGGTGGCCGCCATCCTCCAGAGACCATTGGACAGTCAGGTTTGGGCCCTCAGTGAGGAGATACGTGGGGCCTCATAGGATGGGGGTGGAGCTGGCCCTTTCCTCCCCACCCCAATGAGACTCTGAGTCACCGCCCATGAATGGCCTTTCTGGCTCCTGATCAAGCTGCTTAATGGCCATGATTCCAGAGAGTAAGAAACAAATCTCGAAACCTAGTGGCTTTAGGAAGAAATGCGTCTGGTCCCTGCAGTAAGTTACTGTTGCCGGGCCACCGAAGGGGGAAAGGGTGCTGTCCCTCTGCCTGCTCCCCCTTGGTGGCTTGATGGCCACCATCTGCCAGAGGCCACTGGACAGTCAGGTTTGGGCCCGCAGTGACAGACACGAGGGGCCTCACAGGATGGGGGTGGAGCCGACCCTTTCCTCCCCACCCCAATGAGACCTCGAGTTGCCACCCACGAATGGTCTTTCTGGATCCTAATCAAGCTGCTTAACCAGAGACTCAGAAACAAATGCCGAAACCCAGCGGCTTTTGGCAGAAATGTGTCTGGACCTCGCAGTTGGCTATTGTCACTGGGCCTCCCCAGGGGGAAAGGGTGCTGTCCCTCCACCTGCTCCCCTTTGGAAGCTCAGTGACTGCCATCTGCCAGATGCCACTGGACAGTCAGTTTGGGGCCCGCAGTGACGAGACACATGGGGCCTCACGGGAACCGGGTGGAATCGGCCCCTTTCTCCCCGTCCCAGTGAGATCCCAATTCGCCACCCATGAACGGCCTTTCTGGCTCTTGATCAAGCTGCTTAATGGCCATGATTCCAGAGACTCAGAAACAAATCTCGAAACCCAGCGGCTATTGGCCAAAATGCTTCCGGACCCCACAGTAGGTTACTGTTGCTTGGCAACCCCAGGGGGAAAGGGTGTTGTCCCTCCACCTGCTCCCCCTTGGTGGCTCGGTGGCCGCTATCCTCCAGAGGCCAATGGACATTCAGGTTTGGGCCTGCAGTGACGAGACATGTTGGGCCGCAAGGGATGGGGGTGGAGCCAGTCCTTTCCTCTCCACCCCAATGAGACCCCAAGTCATTGCCCACAAACGGTCTTTCTGGCTCCTGATCAAGCTGCTTAACGGCCATGATCCAAGAGACTCAGAAACAAATCTCAGAACCCAGTGGCTTTTGGCAGAAATGCGTCCGGACCCCGCAGTAGGTTACTGTCGCTGGGCCACTCCAGGGGGCAAAGGGTGTTCTCCCTTCGCCTGCTCCCCCTAGGCTGCTCGGTGGCCACCATCCTCCAGAGACCACTGGACAATCAGGTTTGGGCCCTCAGTGATGAGACACATGGGGCCTCATGGGATAGGGGTGGAGCAGGCCCTTTCCTCCCTGTCCCAACAAGACCCCGAGTCACCACCCACGAACGGCCTCTATGGCTCCTGATCAAGCTGCTTAACGGCCATGATCCCAGAGACTCAGGAACAAATCTCAGAACCCAGCAGATTTTGGCAGAAATCCCTCCAGATTTAAGTGTTAAAATTTCCGAATTTCAAAATTGCGCAGCCACTACTGTAGTCGCGCGACATCATATGTTATTCATGGTCAGCAGTAGAAAACAAATTGTCTACTGTTGCCTTTTCAGCAGATCTGAGTGTTGGGGGAAAAATCTCAAATAATAATGGTGGGTCTGGTGTTAAAATGTTGAATGTGAACAAAGTAGAGAGAGAGTAATGTGGAAATCATCTGCCCCACAGGTAGAGGGAGGGTGTGGGATGGGGGCATACTGGGGTTTTTGGTGGTGTAGAATGGGCACTGGTGAAGGTATGGGTGTTTCATTGTATGACCAAGACTTAGACCCGAAAGCTTTGTAACTGCTCTCATGGTGATTCAATAAATAAAATTATAAAAAATGAAAAAAAAGGTGGAGTTCATGACCAATTCAATCAGCTAATCAGTGGCTGAATAAATAGCAGTGCTCCTATATTAGAAAAAAATCCATTTCTATTGACTCAAATCACTATAAAAGTCTAAAATTCAACTCAACAACATTTACCTTTGAGGAGAGCTTTTTACTGCTTGTGAAGGATTTCATTGTTATTGATTTAGCAAAACAAAAAATCAAGCTAGATTATTTCTTTTTTTCCATTCATTATTTGCTCAGTAAATTATATTATATTATTAATATTGATATATATTAATACATTATATATTAATACAATATATTATATTAATTATAAATTATAATTATATTATATATCAATATAATGGATATATTATCCATTATATTAAGTCAAGCTCATTTGAATATACGCAGTAAACAGTAAACAGTAAGCAAGTCAGTGACTCTCTATTTAGAAATAAAATTAATTCTCACTGCTTGGAGAGTTTAGAATTGTTAATTTTATTCAAATATTTTCATTACAATGGGGCAATAAGAGGAAATCCTCCAAACTTGGAGAAGCAAGTCAAATGAGCTGATCCATTTCCATACACCTGACATTACAGTCAAGACTGACTTTGTAAACTGATAGCTCTTTTGTAAGGACACAAAGCTCTATCTCAGCTCATGCAGGCGAGAAACACAAGGAAGACACATACAAACAAAACAACACCCCCCCCCACCACCACCATCTGAACTAACAAAGCAATGACACAGGTTAGCTTAACGTACCATGTGAGGGTTGTAGCGTCATACAAAAAATTTTTGCTTACTTTTTGCTTTTGTTTGTTTTTTTTTGACTGAGGTAAGAAAATATAAGTTGAGGGTTGCTCTTTTAGCCTGTGTTTGCCCTTAAATATATCTGTTCTGGCTTGCTTTCTTCCCCCACTTTGGAGAAGTTCATGTTCTCTCTTGAACATGTATTTCCTCTCCTTCTCTCTACTCATAAGTTCTAAGTAAAAAACTATATTGTTTCACAAAGAAAGGGGGTGGATGGAGAATATATATTGAAATAGATTTTAAGAGGTTACATTCTGTCTTCAGAAAAACTTTCATTGTGGTGGAGAGATGGGTGTTGAAACACTGACTGAAACCTAATCACAAACAGCTTTGTAAGGGTCTATCTCACAGTGATTCAATAAAAGAAAAAAATATTCGGAAAAAAAATCCATCCAAGTATTTAAAAAATTCTGCCTCTGTCTGTAAATCATCTATAACTTTTGCACCCCTCTATCGTAGGAAAGTTTTAGCTGTGACTTACAAACTGTGAACCTCAGACCTCTGAAATCTGAAGGAGGAAGATTCTGAATACTGAGGAATCTAAAAATCTACTAGCAAAACAGTTTTCTCATACATATACTATTACTAATAGCAAATATAATGATAACTACAACTTTTTTATACATACTAGGGACAAGCAAGCTGAAATGTTTAAATAGCAACTATTTAATCCTCACTTTCCCCAACTCTTATCCACTTATAAATAGACACGGTCACTGTCCTCCCATTGTTCATCAGTTTGCTCGAGTGGGCCCAGTAATGTCTCCGTCATAAGACTTGTTGTTACTGTGTTTGGCATATTGAATACACACGGGTAGCTTGCCAGGCTTTGCTGTGAGGGCGAGATACTCTTAGTAGCTTGCCAGGCTCTCTGAGAGGGGTGGAGGAATCGAACCCGGCTCGGGCGGGTTGGCTGTGCGCAAGGCAAAAGCCCTATCGCTGTGCTATTGCTCCAGCCCTATAAATAGACAAGCTTTTTAAAATTTGATTTCTACAAGTGCAGTATAACCTGCATTCACCTCCTTGATGATTTCTGTTTTAGCATTCCATAGTTTTAAATACAAGAGAACTTGATTTTGTCCAATAATTTGGCTGAAAAAGTTGTCCTTGAAAAGGAAAACCCTAAAGACATGGATGTAGAGGAGGATAAATAAACTCCACTGTTTTCAGTTATCACAGAAGTTGAGTAGATCAAAATCAGACTGGAGGAAAGCCATAAATGACCTGGAGTGAGGTGCCATTTCTCTTCCCCCAATAATTCCCATGTTGTAACTCACAAAAGAAAAACAAAAGGTTTAAACAAAAAAATGACCTGAGCCAGTTCTCATGTAATTCTTTACTAGTTACCATCTATATCATTTTCAAAGACCAAAAAAAAATCTTACTATCACCTACTGGTTGTTTTAAACTTACTGAAGAATAATTTTGTTATATATTATAGTTCAGAGACAGAATGGTTATGAAAAGTCATTTAGATTGTAACAATACAATTACTTGAAATACCTTTAATAGTGACATGTATTGATATAGGAGATACTTACACTATAAGTCTTATAAGTCAAAGCTATCAGAAAAAGTAGAGAAAAAGAAAACTTTATCATTTCAATGAATGATTTGCAAAGTCCAAATGATATACTTTGACAGTATTGGTGAAGGAGAAAGATTCTGAATACTGATCTTGAACTTGCTAGTTTTAATACCACACATGTTCTAGAAATAAGATGTTCCACACCTAAGTTTAAGAGTGTGAATCAGTTTGCAGTTTCTGTAAGTTTTTCAGACTTCTTACAGGAAAGGTATGTGTGCAATAGATAAAGAACTCATTTGTGGTTATAATCATCTCCAAAACTGAGAGTAAACAATTATAAATGGTGAAAGAGTAAAAAATAACCAAACCATAAAAACAATGAAGTCACAAAGAGAGGTCAAAGATGTTCATTGCTCTAAAGCAACATTTACTATTATTCCTGGCAGAAAATGGTGCCTATCATATTTACTTTTTCTCTACTTTTCATTTGGGCATAGATTTATTGTGTAGAGGGACATGAGACCTAGCACATATTATGCTTACATTACAATATGGCTTAGATAAAGTCTGAATGCCATCCAGAGAAACCCATATGGTTTGTAGCAAATTAATTCCCAGTTACGCCATTTTCTCTAAATTTGACCAAATTTGGTTAAATTCTACTTACATTTTTTTGAGATTTCATAATGTTATTAAAGGGGAACTTTGGCAACATATTTAAAATTCTGAGCCTCTATTTTGTTCATTTTAATCGAAAATGACCATATGTTTATCTAGTACTTTAATAATAATATCTTTTAAAAATTCAAGGACTGGATTTCATCATTCTCCACAAGAACAAATGTTAATGCATTGTCAGGCTTTCTCCACTATTTTCTCCTTCACTGCAAAAGGTATTTGAGTTAAGATTCAATGTGATTTTATTTACATTGGGTACCAGTCAATAGTGCAAATGTTATGAGTTCAAATAGAAAAATCAAATCCCAAGACCCCAAACACTTTTCAGAAGTCACTCAAATTTACTTTGAGTTAACAGCTCTTATTTCACTTTATTCTGAAGATAAAAGCACCCCATCTTCATTTTCACATACAAGAAAATTGATGTTCAGAACTATTATGCTTTGCAAGTTGCAAGAAACTCCTCCCATATTGTCATTTCTTGTAAGACAGCAGGAATAATAATAAAAATATTTGTTAAGATACTGAGAGTATCTTGCCTGCACGGCAAAGCCTGGCAAGCTACCTGTGACGCATTTGATATGCCAAACACAGTAACAAGTCTCACAATGGAGACATTACTGGGCCCGCTAGAGCAAATCAATAAACAAAGAGAGGACAGTGCTATTTATATATTTAATAATATATCCCATATGTTATCTATTGCAATGTTATATCATTAATATAATTAGAGACCGGGGGGCTGAAGTGATAGCGCAGTGGATAGGGTGTTTGCTTGCCTTGCATGTGGCCGACCAGAGTTCGATTCCCAGCATCCCATATGGTGCCCTGAGCACTGCCAGGAGTAATTCCTGAGT